TTTTGTCTAATTTGAATATATATAAATATATATTACAGGGACGAAAATAAAGGATGGACTAATATGGTAATGATTAAGGGGTCAATCTCCATATAAAATACAGTAATAGTCTCCCTCTGTGTCTTTCTTCTCTCCAGGTTACCTGTATATAGCAATAGAATATGCACCCTATGGGAACCTGCTTGACTTTTTAAGGAAGAGCAGAGTTTTGGAGACTGACCCTGCCTTTGCAAAAGAGCATGGTACTGCTTCCACCCTCACCTCACAGCAGTTGTTGCAATTCGCTGTGGATGTGGCGACAGGGATGCATTACCTCAGCGACAAACAGGTGAGAGACGAAAATATATGTGAATTTGATTTTGTGTTGTATGCACCTCTACAATGGGTGGGTCACCTAGCCCTCTTAGTTAGGTACTTTCTATCATTGTTATAAGTCCCATTGGAAAATCAGTTCTAACTTGTTATGACATTGCTTCTTCCCTCTTTGCTCTTTTGGCACTAGTTCATTCACAGGGATTTGGCAGCAAGGAATGTTCTTGTCGGGGACAATCTTGTGGCAAAGATAGCAGATTTTGGTCTGTCTCGTGGTGAAGAAGTTTATGTTAAGAAGACAATGGTGAGTAGTTTATACATGGTGCCAGCAGAGGGCGTGAGATTTCACTAATTACTGATTATACTGACAGAGGAAACATTTGAGCAGCTTCACTGACCATGCTACATTTTACATTGTCGACCTCAGTTTGCGCTTTGCTAGCGTAATTCCTTATTTGATGGCTCACCAAAGAATTACCTGGTGTCAAATCCCTTTTTTGGACATTTCCAAAGTTCTATTTTACATTTTCGTGAATTCAAATGTGATTTAGTTTACAGTATGCACATTCTAACAAATCCAAAACACTAATTTTTGGAGTTCCAAGAACAAAACACAGGGGGAAAAAACAACTAAAACAAGGCAATCACCTTAATACGGCACATGGATTGTATTTTCCCCACAATCATGCAGACAACAAGTAATTTTGAAAAGTATAAACGTCACAGCAGTGAGATGTGCTGGTTCATTAGTGAAGATTATTGCTCAAGTGGTTCGTAAACTCAATGAGACCTCCTAGATAATGTAAATTATATGTAAACAAACCATTTTGAATAGTTTATTTCATTCTCGCTTGTTTATTTTTTGAAAATCAATGAGTGTGTCTTACCTAGAATAATTGTCATAAACTGTGAGATAGAAAATTCCACTTGAATCTGTTACCTGTCTTCAGGGAAGGCTGCCGGTACGCTGGATGGCCATTGAGTCCCTGAATTACAGCGTGTATACAACCAAGAGTGATGTGTGAGTTACTTAATCTGTACATTTGCTCAGAAAACATTTCTCCATGTTTTAACATGCTTTTTCCCATAGCAAATCAAGATCACAGAGTTTACCGTATATTCATTTCAACATTATTTATCAAAACCTTACTGAAAACATTACAGCCTTGAATCAAGTTTTGATTGTATATACTCCAAAGTGCATTGCCACAGAGAACAACAAATCAACCCACTGTCACTGTTAGAGTGATGATAGTGTGCTGTGTTGCTGATAAGCACAGCCAGGAAGCCTTGGGTTCAACTTAGCGGACAGACAGTTGTTGTTCTGTCAAATGGGGCCTATTTATACACAGAGAAATAGAGGACAGCTAACGGAAGGAGTGGAAAGGCACCCTCACGGGTCACAGAGTGCTGTAAACAAAAAGAGAGAGAGGGCAAATCTGAGTGGCATAAAACAAATAAGATGTGCCCCAAAAAGTAGTGCACAAGAGTGACAAAGCCCTACAAAAAACTGAGAACAAACACTTGTCTGTCCATGTAATCTACCACACACTCTTGTGTCATAGCCTATCGTCTTTCTCTTTTTTTCTTTTTGTTATCAGATTGCAGGAAAGGGTTGTGGTTTCATGTTGCTGAGAGAAGTCAGTCAGTGGTTCCTTTTTACTTTCCATGTTGATTTGAGAAAAACAATCACACTTTTATAATTGTTTCATGCATTTTTGATCAAAAGTTTGAATTTTCTATTAGATCTTTTCTGTCATGTCTCATTAAGATGTAAACAAGAATGCTCTAAATATTTCATGATAACTTGTTCATGGTCATTTGCGAGGCCCTGAATATGCACATTAAAGCAGGATATTGTTTTCAGCTTCATGTAACAGATCAGTGTTTTCATCCAAGCTCTGTCTGATCTTAATGTCCTCTTCTTAGGTGGTCTTTTGGTGTTCTCCTTTGGGAAATTGTAAGCTTAGGTGAGTAAGGAGACGCCTTCACGGGGAACCTTAAAATTGAATGTAGCTTTACATGTACTTAGATGTACAGTGAAGATCACAGGTCTCAAAGCTTCAATGGCAAACAACATGCTACCATGCTCCGAGTAGTTACAACATATTGCACAATATACATTTTTCGTCAGTCAAACAGTTTGTAACATGATGGTGAGGATCTTTATCAGCGCTTGACACATTTAAAATCATGATCAAGTAGTTTGCTGTTTCTCTATTTGTATTCTTGCTAAATATTACTAATGTACCAGCAATGCTATTTTAAAGTACAGATATTCAAGAAAAGACTGACCCCCAGGTAGCCTTTGACATCAACCAACATGCTCTTAATGATACATTACATATCAGACTAAGATCCTATAGTGCTCCATGGTCCAAGCTTGTGTGTCTCTATGTGTGTGCTTCAGGTGGCACACCGTATTGTGGGATGACATGCGCTGAGCTTTATGAAAAGCTGCCACAAGGCTACAGGATGGAAAAACCTAAAAACTGTGATGATGAGGTGTAAGTTTTCAACATCTTGTAGCTATTGAAGAGTGTATTCCTTCATTCCCGTTGTGCAGTTTTCCTTATTAGTGAAAATTGAATTAAAACGTTATGAACAATGTTTTCCAAATACTAAGCAAAATGTATTCATCTTTATCTTTCCAGTTATGAATTAATGAGGCAGTGCTGGAGAGATCGGCCCTATGAGAGACCCCCGTTCTCCCAGATCTCTGTCCAACTGAGCAGGATGCAGGAAGCTCGGAAGGTAATGTTTCCATCTCACTGTAAGGAAAGCATGAAAAAACATATATGTCTTTTAGATGACAAGCTTCACTCATTGCCACAAATCTATGAAGTAGAAATGTACAAAAGCTACTTGTATGCGAAAAATCTTTGTAATCAGATATTTCTCTGTCCTCCACGCAAATATTTTTTACAAAATGCAATTGCTAAATGAAAATCCTCTGTTCTTTTTTAGGCTTACGTGAACATGGCTCTTTTTGAGAACTTCACCTATGCTGGAATAGACGCCACGGCCGAGGAGGCCTGACTACCAGCCCCCCCAGACCCTCACATGTTACGTAGCTCCAAAAAGAAGTCCCACAGGAGGTCACCGCGTTACTGCCACCTCCCCACCACTCAACGACGAGACAGAAGGACTGGGCGCTTTGTCGCAACCACTCAGCTATAGAAGCAGGACTGTGAAAGGACACTTTGCAAAGTTATGACGGGTTTAGGGAAATACTGAGTATGGCTTGGCCTTCACTGGAGAGATGGAACTACTATTAATCATTTGGAAAATATGGCCCCTGTCAAACACAAACATGTACATCTATCTATCTATCTATCTATCTATCTATCTATCTATCTATCTATCTATCTATCTA